CTTTCCTGGAGAGGCGATCCTGCTGCAGGGGACTCCGTTTTCGCCGGTGGTTGCAGGTTTTGGTGGCTCCACTGGGGCTGACCGGTCCGCCGGCGCTGCTCCAGGGCCGGGTGATGACCTGAGGTCACAGGGGCCAGAGGTCATCAGACACGATCACCTACGAAGGGGTCCGTCAGGGGTCAGTTACAGGGGGCTCCGAAGCATCCGATTCGGCATTGACGTGACAGTCTTCACCGCGGTGATTCCTGGACATTTAGACACGGCATTTGGCTGGAAACTGGACAGGTGGCCTTACAGGGTCACGTCTCTTCAAGGCCATACCCAGACTGCGGACCAGGGAACTCATCCAAAGAATGCAGTTATCGTATAGGCTTATCTAACCAGCAATACCCATGACAAACCGAAGCACACCTTGGAACACTAATCCTGCTCCGCCTCACTGCGTTCATCCCTTGCTAATCAGCCTTAGCGAATGGCTTCATTTGATTCTGCCAAGCCCGAGCCGAGAGGCCGTCGGTTAAACAACTGGAAAAATAATGTCCGCCCGAGCGCAGCCATCTGAGCGGCACGGCGACGCACCCATCTACATTGGCCAGATTGGCCACCTGTTGTGAAGTCTAATGACACGGAGTCGTTCAGAGCGGCCCGCCCTTCCCGTGGCTCCACGGTGACGGCCAATTCAAACATACAACAATGCAGTCATCTTGGCGTGAGGTCCCGCGACACGGAGCCGAAACAATGGGCGACGACCGCGACCTCGCAGACGATCCCCGTCAAACGCGACTGTATCACCACAAACTGACGGAGGAGCGAGCCGCGACGGTCGTCACAACATTGCAGCGGCCCGCGATGACAGACAAAGCCTCATCGTCGTCTCTTCACCGCCAGTGTCACAGTGGTGACCTCGTGTGACGACTCAATGGCAGGATCATTGTCACTCTCCCCTCTTCTGTGAACCCACGACCTCGAGCGTCCCCCACCGGAAGCGCGGCGCTCACCCCTGACCCCGGCGCACCTCGTGACCCCGCGTGACGTGACGGTACGGAACAGAGCCGTCACGAGCGGCCATGCAGCCCTCCGGCGGCCACATACCTCCCGCCGCTGGCAGCAGCGTAAGCCGACGCCGCATGGATTCCAGCTAACGCTAGGGGCGTTCCCAGCAGAGCTCGAACTCGGTATCACCTGCCAGGATCCCCCATCAGAGGCACTTGGCAGGCAGCGACGGACGGCTACGGTTGACGGCATCCGGCAGTCGACAGCTGCACGGTAACACTCTCATGGACCACCAAGTAACTGTCAGCCAGCCGAGGATTGTCCGATCGACAAAGTGGATTAGGACGCGTCGTTGGCGTCGGCGTGTTTTTACGACGGCCCCTGCCGGGGTTTCAGTCACCACCTGCGAGCCGAAAATGCCGTACAATGGAGGGAGGGAGACAGGGAGGCACCCGGTCGTCTGAACAGCCAGCAGGGGAGAGTTGAAAGACTCGCTCTCCAGACACAGGGCGCACTAGCAGGTCACGGGTCACCCGAGGTCACCACAGGTCACGGAAGGTATGACTGAGAGGCCAAAAACTTTAAACAGTCAGTGACACGGCGCCGCTTGAGGTCAGCGACAAGGCCGGTCGGGGTCAGACCTCCGGGGTTATCGAAGGTCACGGAGGTCAGGCGGAACGGTCCGTTTGCCGCCTGACTGGCTGGCTGGCTGGGACTGCGGCCGCAGATCCATAATAGGTCACGATCTGTTCGACCCCCTCTGAGCGCTTAATGAGCAGCACCGCCTAATCAAATGTGCCACGGCTCGTCAGCGGAGACGGAGCGGCGGGCGGTGGATGGTGGGCGGTGGGCGGTGAACGGTGAACCGTGGAGGGTGGGCGGCGGTACGTGGGCACTGGGTATCCCCGATGGATGACGGCAGTGATGTCTCGGTTGTGGTGGAACAACATACGGTGGGGAAAACCGCGATCCCCAGCAGGCAGCGATAAGCAAGCCACCCTCAGGCCACCCCACGCCGCCAAACCTCTCACGATCGTCCGACATTGGCCGCGCCAATGTCACAGCCGACACACCGGTTGTGACCGGGCTGCCGGTTGGCTCCCACCGGGGCCGGCGTGGCGTCCCAGCGGCTCCCAGCGGTGTGGGAACCACGCCCGGGCCGACAGGACGCGGTCGTTTTTTGAGCGTGTCTGCTCGTCCCCGTCCGGCACACCGGGCCGGGGGAGGGGAGGAGAGGGGAGGGGAGGCCAACCGGGCCCGCCGTGCACTGCACCGTCCACGCGGCGACCCGGGTCGACCCTGAGCCGGTGCTCAGCCACGTCACCAGCGCTCCCTCCCCGGGACGACCGCCCGTCTGTTTTCGTCCACCGTCCGCCGTCCAGCAGCTAAGTGGCCCTCCAATAAAAACAAACGCTAGATTTATGAGACAATCAGTCCGTGATTGCTTAGCAAATTAAGGAGCTTTGCGCCTGCATCATTTCGTCCAGTGAAATTAGCACCGTGGGCCGGCTGGGGCGCGGCATGATAGTCGTTTGCGGCTGGACGACACGTCCATATGTCGGCTCGGAATGAAGTTGCGGCCTCTGTCGAGCTCGGGCGGCGTGGAGGGGGGAGGGGCAGTAACAATGTACCCTGCAGTGTGTAGTGCACGACACAGGGCGGTTGCAGACGGGGAGGGGGGGGTGGTCGGAGCAGAAAAACACCACGTCACTGGTGGACAGAGACAAATGGACCAGAGTGCGGTCACGGACTCGGGCGATTAGCTCGAAGGAGAGAGAGAGAGAGAGAGAGAGAGAGAGAGAGAGAGAGAGAGAGAGAGAGAGAGAGAGAGAGAGAGAGAGAGAGAGAGAAAGACAAAGAGAGAGAGAGAGAGAGAGAGAGAGAGAGGGAGAGAGGGAGAGAGGGAGAGAGGGAGAGGGAGAGCGAGAGGGAAGGGAGAGGGAGAAACATACGACCGGCCATAACCGGTCAGCTTAGGAGACAACTCCCTCGAGTTGCAGACAGAAGCCTTTGCAATGCGAGAGCTGCAAACGGGAGACAAGCCCCGAGCCACGCACGACTCGGCTGGTGTGTTACCCGGAACCCCGCAGCAGCAGAGCCGACACGACACGCCGAGCTGAGCCGTGTTGTGACAGTCGCGAGCCGATAGTGGAGTGCCGACACAACTTGTAAGCGCCACTCACCGAGCCCGTCGACAGTTTCCGATGCAGTGCCGACGAGTCAGTTCAATGTTTCCGTTGTTGAAGTGTGGTACTGGATTGAGTCTGCCCAATGTTTCCGATGTTGAAGTGTGGCCTGTTGAACTTTGCAGCAGAGGCGGGGGAGGGGTAAGGCGCAAAGAGCTATTTGGAGGCTAGACTTTCGACTCAATAGTCAAAAAGACATGTGAGCGTGAGAATGACACTCAATTAACGAAACACATGCACAGTTTATGTAATTCACCGCTAATGCATCTATCTAGAACGGAAACGATTACTCTGATGTAAGTGCGTACGGTAGACAGCACGAAGAGTAAAGCAGGAAGTCGTACTGCACGAAAACGGACGATCTACATACATTAACCGCCATAGTACCCACACAGGACGCAGCTGGTGGATATCACTGTGTTGTAATTGTATATCGATGTTGAGTATGCTGTCAGCAGCGGGCGGCAGGCGAGCGCTGCGTTTTTTTGTCTCTGTGTACCACTACCCACGGTGTGTAGTGGCCGGTGGCCGCGCCGGCCCAGCGCGGCGGGCGTGGTCGGCGGTGTCGGGGCGTGCGGCCGCGGGGGCGCAGCTGTGTGTCCACTCTGTGTCGGGGGACGCCCTCCACCCCTGCGGCTCGCCCCTGGTGGCACGCGTGGTCGATAGGCGGCTAGTGGAGCAGCCTCGCACCACTCCACCCCACCTCCTGCACGCCTGCCACCTGGCCCGCACGGTGCACTCGAAACACCGCACACAGAGCCGGGTCCATGCACCGCCCGTCGGTACCGGGCGCGCCAAAACGGGGCGCGCGCGCGCCGCCCACGCGTCCCACCGGCGCCAAAAACGGCGCGGCCATCAGCGGGCGCGACAACCGCTCTCGCGCGCCGCTAAACGCGTCCTCTGGCGCCTACATCAGGTGGCCGCATATGGTGGTCGCGGTGCTCCATTAGAGCAGCCAGTGATCCATCATCGGCAGGCGGTCGCCGACGGGAGGGCCACTCCTCCGGCCGTGGCCGAGGGGCGGTCGGTGAGCTGGAGGTGAAGGTGGCCGCGAGGTTGGAATGAAGTCTCTCCCATCTAGCGATGGAAGCTCGATGGCCGCGCCAGGGCGATAAAGGTGTCCGTGAGGTTTAAATGAAGTCTCCCCACCCTATGTCCACGATAGAAGCTCGATGGCCACGCCTCCCGATCAGGCATGAGGTAGGAAGTAGTCGGAGGAGGGGAAAAGACAGGACTGAACGGCGAACACACAATATGCCTTATCAGCCAGAACTGCAGTGTCGTGACATACCCTCGACACATCACGAATGACAGCTCACATTTCCCGATAACATCAAACAACACCAAACAACACCAAAACACCACATGAAATTACATATCACCGATACGATCCACAACACAGCGAAGAAACACAGCACCTTGATCGATCACGCCGCACCCACACCCACACCCACATGACACACCCAATTCCTTACGCCCGTGCCACAGCCCGTGTATATACCATCTGACGGTCTGTTTCCAATCACAGGTGCAAGGGGCGTGCCACAGGAAGCGGCGGTGTGACAGGGAGCAGTACCGCCCCGACACCTGCCTTTTACCAGCGCCGTGATTGGTGACAGGCGGTGGTGACAGGGGTGGTGACAGGGTCGCTGTCGGTAGTGGTGAAAGAATGGTGACAACGTTGATGACAGCGGTGGTGACGGTAGTGGTGATAGAGGTAGCGACAGCGGTGGTGACAGCGGAGGAGACAGTGAAAGGGACAGACGGAGATCCATCGTCGCCGTGATGCCCTCGGTGACGAACGTGTCGCACCCAGGGCGAGTTTGTGACGCGTCCAAGTGACGTGATGTGACACCTGTGACGTATCGATAAACACCCTCGGCATCACGCCGTTGATCATTGATCAGACCACTGATCGCCGATCAGTGATTGGACTACCGATCGGGCACAGCAGGAGGTCCAGCTGTCCCGCTGAGGGCGGCCATCATCACCCGGTCCCTGACGACCCAACAGAGACGAGACGGGAGAGGCAGGGGACAGGGGATGCGAGAGACAGGAGGAAACCACAGAACACGAAACAAGGAGACACGAAGTAAGAAGATACCAGACAGGGAGGTAGGTACGAGACGAGGAGATAGGAGAGACGAGACACGAGACAGGAGGCACGAGGCAAGAGAAAAGACACGAGACAGCCGACAGGGGACACGAAAAATGAGGAACGAGGCAAGATATAGGATACTTACATGAGACAGGAGATCCGAGACAAAATACAGGTGACAAGAGAGACAGGAGACACGGGACACAAGAGACAGGTGACACGAGAGACAGGAGACATGAGAGACGAGAAACAAGATACACGCAAGACACACGGCAGGAGACGTGAGAGATGACAAGTGAAAAGCCGGCATGAGAATTGAGACATGAGAGACAGGAGACACGAGGCACAGGGCACGAGCAGGACGAGTGACCAGATGAACACATCCCGACCACTCCGTCCGCAATCTCCTGCCATCTAAACAACGCGGCGTGCCACGACAGTGACACAAACACATGCCCACAATTAGAGTGGCTGGTCGCCTATCATCCGACACCGGACACAAACACGATCGAGCTCGTCACAGGCAGCGATAGGGTGACACGTGACATGCACAAAACACAGACGAGACACACCGGTCTGGCCCCTCCCCCCTGTCTGACAGCGATCGAACACAGTGCACTACATACAGGGTCTTTCATAATGAATGTTATTTTTAAAATAGCCATAGCTCAGGTGATATACATCACAAAGTTATTGTCAATACCCGAATGAAATAACAAATCATGGGAAATTATGTACACATGACTCGCATTTTGGTACCGTTCATCGATTTTGAACTGTGTCGCCTCGCTTTCGGACACATATTTCGGCCCGCGGACGCAAGTGGTGCACCACGCGCTTCACATCCTCCGCGCACAGCATTGCAGCAAACCTCTCCACTGTGACCTGTAGCTCTATGAGGGTCACTGGAAGGGTCTCTGCTTGGGGCCTCCAAGACGACTGTCCAAAATCAGAAGTACATCGGCGAGAGATCAGGGCTCCAAGCTGGCCATGGCCGCTCAGTGAGACGGCTGATCACTCGTCTGTCAAAGTTGCCATCCAACCACTGGCGCCCAGCCGCCGTTGTCACTTCAGCGCCGTCCTGCTGAAACCAGCGGCCTTGTCTTTGAACCCCGCCAGGCACATGAGGCCAGAATTCTTCCTTGAGCACTGAGCAGCCTCAAATAAGCTGGCCCGGTCACTGATAAGCCAGAAGCGAACCAGTGGACGAAGACACGCCCGTCGACCACGGCAGCCCAAAACATGACATTTCGTGCGTTTTGTTCCTTGCAGTCAACCGTGACATGTTGGAATCTGTTCACAGGCATGTGATCATTTTAGAGCGGAGATTGCGCTTCTTTTAAAAGTGTCCCCGAATCTTACGGTGGACAGCCGTGCGCTTCAGTGAGCCGTTTCCCACGACCACCCAAAACGCCTACGTGAAAAAAGAGCTGACCCGTGTGGCGTGTTGTAGGGGGAGGCATTTCATGTCCGCACAAAAGGAAAGTTTGGTGAAGTGTGGCAGTTTTAATTACATCAACAGAAATTCCAAGCAGACTTGTGCCAAGGTCCCAAAAAGATCCGAGATCCAGGGTTCGCAGAGTCCAAGGTCTGGGACCTTGATGGATCCTGGACCTTGCATTGTCATTTTTGTCGCGAGACCTTGGAAACCCAGGACCTTAAAACATCCATATGCCGCGAGACCTTGGAATCCCAGGACCTTAAAACATCCATATGCCGCGAGACCTTGGAATCCCAGGACCTCAACATTTGCATATGTCGCGAGACCTTGGAATCCCAGGACCTCAACATTTGCATATGCCGTGAGACCTTGGAATCCCAGGACATCAACATTTCATGTGACATGAGACCTTAGAAACCCAGGACCTCAACATTTCATATGCCCTAAAACCATGGAAACCCAGGGGTTAGGACCTCAAAATTTTGGTATGCTGCAAGACCCTGCAGAATGCAGACCTTCAGTACCAGTTTTATTATTTGTCATGGGATCTTAGGAGAACGGTCTGGACCTACACCATCATTTTGTTGAGGGACCTCAAGAATCCTGGAAGCTGGACCATGAGGTTTATGTTGCACATGGGCCACTAAGGACCCTGCACTAGGTTTTGTCTGTAAGCACTTCAATAAATATCTATGGTTGAGCGACCAGCTGCAAGGGGCTAGATAGCTACACAAAGAGAACGAACCAGACTGTGTAGACATATACCTATAGAGCAAAATCGTTGCCATGGCTGTGAGGCAGAACTGGAACAAGAGACCTGGTAGCTTTTTACATTATCAATGAACATGGATTATGAAACTGTCAAACAGTGGACAGTGGTGGTTTGGAAAGTTCTTTTCTAATCTCACCTCACATATTTTCTGGGTTGTGATATGCCGGGCTTGAAGCTACTTGGAAGCTACCCACTGACCAAGTAAGTGCCAAACTTATTTGTTTTGCAATTCATCAAATCCAAGGCCATCTATAATAGATCAAATCACCATTGACTATTGAGCAATGAGCAATATAAGCAATGATTCCATGACAGTTCAACTTTTTCGTTTAGCAGGTTTTCGTCGGACAATTTTTCGTCTGCAGATTTTCGTCCGCAGACTTTCGTCTATGCATTTGTTCGTCTGTGCATTTTTAAGTCCGCGCATTATTTTCATAACAATAAGGACATTTTCCGCCTCGTCCAGACGAAAAAATGCCGGACAGAAATATACTCAGACGAAAAATGCACCAAATTAATTCGAACAGACGAAAAAATGCAAGACGAAAAAGTCAGACGAAAATCTGCCGACGAATAACCGGCTGACGAAAAAATTGTCAGATGGAATTTTGTTCAGAGCCTTCAATCTAATGTGAATGAACAGTAAGTAAGGTTTGCGTTCGCTGATACTCGAATTCTATTGGCTTAGTCGATCAGTTTTTCTGTGAGCGCTCGCGCAAACAAGACTTAGAACATTTTACTTTTTATCCTAGGTATTATGTAACTGAATGTGCAGAAAATCGAAAGCATATACCTATCCAATTAAACTTTTCCATTTCTATGAATCCTGTAGGTTTTATTTCTGTTTTTTATATTGCCTGAAAGAATACTTGAATGTCTGTCTTCAATAGCTGTAAGGTGCTGTCCTTCATGCCTACTGATAAGGTAAGATTGAATTGAAAGGGACATGACAATACAAATTGCAAGGTAGGTACCTATTACCTACCTATATTTTTATGAATTTGTCAGGTTAAAGAAGGAGATATTGATATTATGATTCATTTTTAACTTGTGTTGAAGCTCCCCCTACCTATGTTGGTTAACGATAAAACCACCACAGTCCACAGGTTTGCATAGGTTCTGCCCCTTTCAATGTTTCTGGGCATCCGTTGGCAGAATATTTAGAAGTAAGTCTGCTCATCAGAATGTTAGATTATTTAAGTTCTTGTTGTGGGACCATGAATACTTTGGATCCTGAGATGTATTCTTGCCGTGGGACCTTGAGGACTGTGGACCCTGAACTCTGAAGTGTGTACTTGTCATGGGACCTTGGGGACTGTGGATCCTGAAATTCACACTTGTCGTGGGACCCTAGGGACTGTGGATCCTGCAATGCATTCTTGTCATGGGACCTTGGGGACTGTGGATCCTGCAATGCATTCTTGTCGTGGGACCTTGGGGACTGTGGACCCTGCAAAGTATACTTGCTATGGGACCTTGGAAACCTTGGATTCTAGAAATTGAATTTGCCGTGGGACCTTGGAAACCTTGGATTCTAGAAACTGAATTTGCCGTGGGACCTTGGAAACCTTGATTCTAGAAATTGAATTTGTCGTGGGACCTTGGAAACCTTGGATTCTAGGAATTGAATTTGCCGTTGGACCTTGGAAACCTTGGATTCTAAAAATTGAATTTGCCGTGGGACCTTGAGGATCCTGGATCTTGATTTTTGATCCCAGCACAAGTCTGATTCCAAGAAATTTGCAATAAGGTAAATACAAAATTTATGGTTTAATTATTTACGAACACCTTCAACTTCGCGTTTTAAAAATAACATTCATTATGAAAGACCCTGTACATACATGGAACAGGGAGTCGAGAGGAGTTGGCGGCCTCCGAGACAGGGGTACTGGCGGCCGTGTGTCATCAGCACGCGGGGGTGACCGGTAGGGGTCACATGACGGGCGGGACGGGCTGTCGTGGTCACGGGACTGGCCAGCCAGACGGTCGGACGGTGGGCGTCGGCCCCGCCAGATACAGACACAAACAGTGCAGCTCTCTGCCAGAGGCGCGGGGGCAGGGAGAGGTCGGTCGAGCGAGCTACACAAACACCGTCACATATACACTGAGCCGACCGGGTCGGCCGATCGACCGCGGCCCACACGGCCCATAATGCCGCCCACTTGTTCAGCGTATAACAATACAGGCTACCGGCTGGCAGAGGTCACAGTCCGCCGCCCCCGCCCCCGCCCCCGCCCGACACTCGGTCGCCCACGACCGAACACGTGCTCGCCAGACAGACACACCCACGGGACTCGGAAGCTGACAGAAGCCGGCCGATGCCGGCCCGGCGCCTACCTACCTTTGGGTCGAAGTTGAACGACTTCTCCAAGACAAGCGGACACTCGAGGCCGCACTTGCAGGTGCCGTCTGTTCGCAGGTACTGACGAGCTTCCTCCTCAGAGGTTAGACTCACGCCACTCGGACTGAAACAGTGATCAGCTCAGGTCAAGTCAGGGTAGATGAGTACGTGAGGGGAGAGTTTGGGGATATGGGTCACCCAACAAAGACGTGGTGGCTGCGAGAAGTGCACGTCACGCGTAAGATGGTAAAAAGACGAGCCCGATCGTATAGCATCTGTGGCCAAAAAAAACGATCAGATAACACAAACTGCATCAACGGAACTCAATAAACTGGTACGACGGAGAGAAAACAAACGACGGCAAAACTTTTCCGACGGACCCAACCAATATCCAAACCGTCTTCCCTGTCCCTGATAAAGCGCCGGATAGCGAACACGTCCAGCTATTTCCCCACACGGCTCGAGCCTCGAAAGCCAGAGTCGCAGCAGGTTTACGCTACGTCTCTCGCCCTCCGCAGCCGACCGCACTCTCTTCTCATCCGGTTCCCAGATTTGCGCGGGGCGTGTAACGTAGCGTGTGTAAATCACCGTGTAAACCGCGCAGATTCGTACGGTCCGTATCGCACGAATGACGTGCGTAACCCGCCGTCAGCTGAGGCGTGCAGACACGCTGCGCTGAACGCGGCGCTGCAGACGAATCTGAGCAAACCGGGCAACTGAGCGCGATACGACGGGATACGGCGGGGATGTAGAGTGTGAACCGGCTGTGGCAGAATGTATAGTAGCTGAGAGACGATTGAGATAGCCCAGACAACACAAATTGTAACGTAGCTCTACGTGAAGTGTCGCAAAGGCGTCAAGTTACAGTAGCTAAGACGCACTGGCACTTGGCTGTGGCGAAAGTGGGTATACATGGCAATGGCGGAAATAATGCCACCAGAAGCGATGACAATGATCTCTGAATGTGATGACACCGATCGCCCGCCGCGAGTGCAGCCATCCTCACGCAATCTGCGGGTAAACCTCCACCGCTGAAAGGATTACCACGCCGCCGGTGCAGCGGCCCGGCAGGGAATCACGCGCGCCGTGAGCTCGGAGTGTCTACACAGTCAGCATAGGCGTCAGCCTCTGCGCACCCGTCCAAACATACACGAATGGGTGCTCACCCGCGCACTGCAACTATACACAACACACATCGTTTGTGATTAATTATGAATGGGTGAGACCACTGGATAAATGGATTCGCCGTTAGTCACGGCCAGTTATTCCGTAAGGGAACTAATCACCTAGCTGCACAATTCGTTGAGCTACACCGCATTCATTTTACTGGTCAGAGAATGAATGTCCGAGGGCGGTCACACCCCTGTGCTAGGCAGTTTGGCGCAAACAGCCGGTAAAGCGGTAGTTACACGCCACATCGGTTTCCACGGCACAAAATAATGCCGACGTTTGCACGTCCTCGCTTACACACACGTAAATCGTGAGTGAACACACTCACGCTGAGTTAGCCGGCTGAGTCAGGCGCCACGGCCGTCCGCACCGCGGTACCCCATTATTCGGAGGTCAGCGCGACTCGCCGGCCGTAGCGTTTAATTATGAGTTATATTCCATTCATCATCGTGTCCCCGACATGCCCGGCCGGCCGGCCACACGGCAATCAGCCGCGTTACGAGCGACGTTTACAGGGCGACGCCAATCCAAACAAGTTACAGTGCAGCGCCACTGGCCATGCCATTCCTCCTCTGTCACAGAGGCAGCGCGTGGCTGCAACAGCGACACAACGAGCATGTTTAGTCAGCGGCTGAAAAACGAGCACAAACTTTCCCATTGCTTAATATGGCCATCCGGCATGTGAAAGCTGTAATCAAGAGCGGCAATCGCTTTAGCCGGCGGTCTGCGCGGCTAATCAGTATGTTGGGAGCACCGTCGGCCATCCGTCAGTGAGTGCCGACGGCTGGCGGCGTCACGGTCCACCACCGGAGACGGAGGAGACGGAGTAGGAGCCGGAGTCGGAGATGGAGCTGGAGATGGAGCTAGAGTGGGAGCTGGAGGAGGAGTGGGAACTGGAGAATGGAAATGCAGGAGGAGGAGAGCAGGAGCTTCAGAATATGAAAACAGAGAAAGAGCCGGAGCCAAAGCCGGAGGAGCCGGAACCGGAAATGGAACTGGAGCTGCAGCTGGGGCCTGAGACTGGGGCAGAAGACGGAGCAGAAAAGATATGTAGGAGCAGCAAAGGCAGGAGCTGAGTCAACAGTTGGAGACGGAACAGGATTCAAAGCAGAAGAAGAGAAACCAGGAACGTAAGCCAGTGCAGGAGCTGGAAGACGAACTCAAAAAGCGAGTCAAGTCGGAAGAGCCGAGGCAGAGAGCCGAGACAGAAGAGCCGTACACCAGCCACGACTTCGCTGGATCGTTCAGCAGCGCGGCGACCCGCTCGCCGTAGCGGCCATTCACACAGCCACGGCGGCGCGCGCAGGCACGCAGCCTCCGCGGTCGCCGCGGGGCGCTGGCTGGCGCGAGGCCACGGCGCCGCACCGCGCACTACACTCCCGTCCAGGTGTGGGCAGAGCACGGAGGCGGACAGAGGATCGGCGCTACGATCGAGGCCGGCGCACAGATCACTTCCTTATGCGACGAATAAACATGAACATTACGCAAAGCGAGATCGACATTACTTACGCAACACATCATTCCATAAACGCACGCCACGTAGATAACAGCGTCAGGTGTTCCGAGGATCGCGTCGTCCTAAAATAAATGTCGTACTGACTTAAAAGTCACCGTCCAGCACAAGAAGAAGATCTATTCTGCTCTCCTCTACACCTTCCAGCCAACTAAACTCACAATCCCCCTCCTGGCACATCCACAGCTCGCAGACACACATCTCACATCATCACCAACCAATCGCGCTGTCATACGTCATATATCTCACATCATAACCAGCCAATCATGCTCCCATACGTCATGCCCGGCCCAGCTACTTGCAGGGTGTAACTCGGCCCTGCCGGCATCAGATGCCGGCGGCTATGACCAACGCTGGGTCACCGGTTCACAGCTCGACGCTGAAGCTGACTCACACTTATACGGCTCACATTCATCCTTGCGTCACGCTACATCACCCCCTGGTTCTGAAGAACCACATTACTCTACATGTTACATGTCATTCAATCAACGCATCAACTACATCCTCTGGCACACCATCGCCATATCTTTCCGGCTCTCTTCGAACACGCGTACCACGCCGCAGCGTCGCAGGCACGAACGTTTCACTCTCATCTGCGGACACATCAGACCCGGTCGGTGGATCGGGGTCCGGGGACTGAGCGACGCTGGGCGGCCGCGTGTCCGACTCCGTCACATCACTCGGAGCTGGCGACACACACACGCCATCACACTCGCTGTCATCAGACCACTCCACCGTTGGCGCTCGCAGAGCCCCTGGCCTCGGACATTCAGGGACGGTCAACCGATGTCGGAGGTTTCGCACATGTCGTGGGACATTATCGACTTCGATTGTCTGGGCCGAAACGACGCCTGTCACAATACCCTCGTCTGACTTTACAAAACATCGGTCGCCCCGCCGCCGAACCCACACCTTGTCCCCTACCTGGTATACACCGGGTTTCTTCAGCGGCAGGGCGTCACCAGGCTCGTCTGAGGTTCTGCGGGGCGTCACGTCAACGTCTCGGCCAGGGTGTCGAAGCACCCCGTTGATTAGAGCTGTGGCCGGGTCACTGCCATCCTTCGGTGTCACGTTGTATCGATGGACTGCTTCAGCAACGGAGCAGGACTGCCGGGCCACCATCACTTTGATGGTACGATGATGGCGCTCGACGATGCCGTTCCCGCCGGGCTCGTAGGCAGCGCGGAACCGGATAGATACGTCCCAGCGAGCCGCGAACGCTAACATGACCCGGCCACGGAACTCTGTCGCATTGTCCGTGAGTATTTCCGCCGGGGCTCCACGCTCTAGAAACACGTTCTCCAGCTCACTCACAATCTCCAGAGCTCCTGCCCGGCGAAGCCGTCGCCATATGGCGTACCTCGACGGCCCGCAGTCCACCAGCGTCAGGTATGGGTGGCCGTGCACGTGGGTGACATCCATGGCCAGGCGATCCCACGTGCGTTCTGTTCCGAGTGACCCACCGGGCCAGCGCTCCGGCGCCGGGTCAATCGAGGCACACGTCTGGCATCGTCTGACCACGTCTCGCACAGCTGGTTTTGACACCCGCCTCACCCCCAGCTCACGTCGGGCGTACCACAACGTTCTCCTCACTCCTTGGTGACCGATGTTTTCGTGGATGGTGCGGATGTCACTCGCTGAGGCACTTGTGATGGCAGCGACAGCCACCGGTTGTGCTTTGGACGAATCAGTGGTTGGCTGGTCGGCAGTCTGCAGCCAGGCGTTGGGCACCCGCGTCACCTCATCAGCACGGTTGACCGCTGACGCGACCAGCTCGATAGTGACCTCCAGTTCGTACTCGATGACGAGCTGACGGAAAACAGCCACGCGCCGTCGGATAAGCATTTCGGACTGCGCCTTGGTTCGCAGCCTTGCCTTACCCGACAGCGCGTCACTCAGCCAGCGGTGCACCGTCACCGAGTCTGTCCGGAGCGTCAGGCGACGGAAGCCCCATGCTACCGCCAGGTTGACACCGTTGAGAGCGGCATCCAGTTCTGAGATATTGATGTGCACGTCCCTCTCCGATTCGGCACGCAGCCAGGACGCGTCCTCGATGATGGCGCCCGTGTCAGGGTCAGTGAGCACGACACCGCGGGCGATGGAGCTGGCGTCGGTCCACACCACGACGCTCGTCCCTGTCACACACCACTGGCCGCGTGCCGGGTCACATGCTCGAAACCGCCGTGACACCTCATCCACCTCACGTTGTAGTTCCTCGCTGACGATCGGAGTGTCCCAGTCCGGGCTGAGGCGGTTGGCAGTCCGCTTCATCCATGCAGCGGCCGGCCGCAGCCAGCCTGCGACCGGCACATGAGATGTCAGCTGGCCGGCCCACGCGAAGACAGATCGCCGCGTTAGCACGGGTGGAGCCTGCGTTGGTGACTCCCCGTCCCTACTCCACTGGAGTGCCGGCCCGTCGCTCTCGGCGACACGAAGGCCCA